GTAACCGGTTCTTTGCGTGAGCCTAGTTACAGAAGAAACATTACCACCTTCTAGCCAGATCTTGATAGCCCAACAAAAAGCCTGAGCCCAGTACTGGAATGGGAGACCACCGAGGAAAACCAGGGTACTGTTGCAAATAGTACCAGGGACCAGTAGGCGGTCCTACAGGTCCCTCAGGACAAGAATTTCCAAACCAATGACCCATTACTAGCTGTATATAAAGCTGTATATATGTAAAGCGTGTTGAGATCCTTTGGGATATAAAGTTCTATGTAAATGCAGGGAATTGTTATCATAATTTCTTTATGACATGACACATCATAGTGTAAACTTCACACCTAAGGCTTTATTCATTATTTCCCAAAATGCTGTACCTAGTTTTATAAAGTTGTGCTACTCAACTGAGTTGCATAATATTAGCTGATAGACTTTCACTTGCCTGTGTTCCTTTTGGACCTATTATTGGGAAGTAGGTGGCGATTCTGAAGAGGAAATCTTTCAGTTTGACAAAATTATTAGCACCAATGCTCCAGGACTCATCAATAAGGAAGACAATGTCAGCCTTAACTTTTCCACAGACTGAAAAGAAAATCAAAAAACACATCAGATAATAAACTCTCCTCACAGATATGAAAAAAAAAACGTAATAATCACTAGCAGACAAAGTAATGATGACAATATTTCATTAGGTCCTGAGCCATGACACATAATAGAGCAGTGAGGTGTGTCAGCCTGTGAGCTACAAAAGACGAAAGGTGAATTCTGCGCTGAAAAGATATGGTAAACGCACAATGTTTCTGTTGTGGAGCTTTCGTCGGGTGTGTAAAGAAAAGAGGGTGAGGTGGGGAGGGAAGAAAAATAGATTTTAAGTTGTTTGCTGAAATGTATGAAGAGTCATATTGAGACATTCTCTTTTTCGAAGCACCAGGACTTGTGTAATCACTGTTACTGTGAATACAAGAATATTGAACTATCAAACATAGTTCTTTGTGTACATTTGTGTGAGCTTCTTTCTAAGAAAACACAGAGCATATGATTGTTTTTTTATTTGAAATCTGTGAACCCTGAATAGCTTTCAGCATGGCGCTGTGTATGAAACCTTATTTGTGTTATAAAATGTATAACAGCTTGGGGATTAAAAGAAACCAAATGCAACCGAATATATTTATTGTTATCTGGTTTGAATCATCAGTTTGCCGTCTAAAATATGTGCAGTAACACCATACTTGGCCCAGAGCGCAGAGTTGATGCTGTAGTGATGGTTGTGGTGGCTGGAGGTTCTATAGTTGCAGGGGCAGCAGTAGTTGTCATCGTGGTTGTTGTGGTGGGGGTAGCTGATGTTGTCAGAGTCGTTGTGGATTTAGTTGTCTTCACAGTAGGAGTTCGGGTATTCCTTCCTGCAGCCTGAGCCCTGGTGTTGGCCTGTTGAGGTGTCGGAATTAATGCTGGAGTGGAAGTTGCCTCTGTAGTTGACAAAGTCACAGCAGACGCACTCGTTTTGGCTTTTCCCACTGTAATTAACGAAAGAAACCAAACATTGTGCTTTCAAATAAGCCAAAATCTTCTTCTGCAAGAAAAAAACAAATTGTGCCCATTGGTAATAATGTAAAAGAACAAGTAAAAGGTTTATTCCATGCTGAAAAGATAAGAAAGGAAACAACGTTTTGGCTGTGGAGCCTTCTTTCCAAAATGAGGTGTTTTCTTTATTCTCTTTTCAGCATGGAATTAACATTTTACTTGTTCCTTTGCAGCCCAAACAAGCTGACAGAGCTAGCTACTTGAGCTTGTTAATAACGTACAGTACAGTACATGTAAAGAATGTATATTCCAGGGTCTTTTGTTTTTTTTCCTGATAAACTATTTTACTCATGACATGACATGAGATGTGAACGTTAGACAATTTATAAACTCAAGGAATTCTAAGATTAATTACATAATAAATGGATGTTAAATATTTAAGGTAATATTAATCCCCTAAGAAGCTGTTTCTTACGAATTCTTTCATTTATTGATGTCACAGGTCCTTCAACTTCTCCATAGAGTGGTCGTATTGTAAAAATATATGTCCTGCCATACAACAGATTTGTGATTTTAAAGGAAGTAAAAACAGGTCCCAGGATTTCAGTTGTGGTTTTCAAATCTGTGAAAAAGAAAGAAAGGTACTGTAAATGTGTTTAGTATCACATGCTCTGAGCACTTCTTCCACAACTACAGGCACAGGAGCGCAATAACGTATTTCTAAAATATACAAAATATAATTAGGCAAAATTAATTTGTTAACCCAAATCATAAAATGAAAATACCAAATGTTTTTTTGTGTGTGTACAAATATTTTGTGTTTTGACTGATTAAGCTCAAGACTAATAGCACACTTCAAGAGGTATCTGTTCAATATAAATCCTACCAGAAGATTTACAAAATACTGACTAGGTGTGAAAAAAATGAGATATGTGTGTTTTCTGAACTTAATTATGACAACTTTGACTTTGCTCAATGCAATGCTCTTAAGATCGCTGTGTAATGATCTTAAAGTTTTTAACGAAAAAACATTATCCAATCCACCGTACATTCTGAGGAATTATTGGGGTATATTACAACATTCTGGGTAATGTCATAAAGTGACAGGCAGAAGGAAATTAAGATTTTAAATTTAAAACAACAGATTTTACAGGAGCCTGAAACAAGTATTCAAAATCCTCGAAGGTGTTAACAAAGTCAACTCAGCAGATTTCTTCAGAATTGACAGTGAACCACAGTCAGAGGACACACGTACCAGACTATGTGAAAGTGCTTTAAAAACAAAAAAATCTGAACATGAGACTCTTCTTTACTCAAAGCATCGTGGGAGTATGGCACAAGCTACTCAGGTATGGTGTTCAAGAAATATCTGAATGACATCCTTGGATTAATTATGAACTAACTAGCAGACAGACTAAATGTTCCAAATGCCTTCATTTAGTTCAGAATCTTTCTCATGGTCTTATGTTCAATCTGCAAACCTTTCTATTACTTGATGTTAATTGTTTTTGTTTCATCAGGGGTATGATTAAATTGGGATAGCACTGTACCTACGTGTCTTTGTATTTTAAACAGTATAAATGCTAGATTCAAATCCCTGGAAAACAAAGATTTACTGTATGAATATAAAATTTATTTCAGATCAGCTTGACTTTTGTTTTGGGGAATTATGAACACTACCCATAAAGATTATATCTTCTTAATTTTATTATTCATAAAATGTTATTAATAATGTTTACCTGTATATAGAAATTATACAATTTCAGATTTAGACTCTATACTCTTCTAAAATATTTTTTTTACAAATCCATTACAAGTGTTTTTCATTAATAAATCATGCTTAATTCCATTTTATCTACTTCTGAACTGAAGGTCAGCAAGATCAATAGAATTTGATTAATTCAGCATGAAAAGTGTATACTTTTGACATGTGCAGAATATAGAATTGTCTCAATTTCTAAGAAAGACTGCAATCTAATAGATCATTATGATCAGTGTCCCTGGTAAAAAGGCCCTTGAGTGTTTAGGTGATTCTTATTTTGCATGAGACAATTTTCAAACTGTGATAGCACAGGGAGTTGCTCAAAGAACACAAATCAAACGGCTGCCAAGTTTCCTCCTGGTGTGGCTAGCTTTTGCTCCTCTGGTCTGCTGGATACTTTCCCAGAGTCTTGGGTTAATTCTCAACCCACACTGCCAGAAGCTTAACTTCAGTTCAGCATGTGGCTTTTCACATGACATAGCCAGGTAAGGCGTTCCATGTCTTGGCACAAGATTTACTGGCATCTTTCTCTGTAAGCAGGCATTTTTTCCCTGCACAGTTCAATTTCTGAGGTAACGCGTAACTTGAATGGTATTTTCAGTGAGGAGCATCGACTTCTATATAGGCAACTGAGATTATGGCACAAACCATTTAATGTTTCTCAGAACTGAGAGGCTCTTTTTTTTTCCTGGTCATTTGTGAGTTCATTGAATTAATGCTGTTTTTAGATCAAGGTGCAACATTTTTGTTTTGTTGTGGCACTTGGTGCCATGCTTACTTGCAAGGTACTGTATGTAACACGAGAGAGGTTTGATGCGGTAGTGAAATAAATCAAGGCTCTAGAAACTGAAGTCATAGTTGTGCTGACAAATACTGTATGTGAAGAAAATAAAATAAAAAACTGAGTGATTTTAAAGTTGCAAAATAATGATTCATCTGAGTTTTTGACAGAACCTGGTGTCCAATCACCTGAAATAGGCCTCCAAGTTATTATATACCCAGATACTCCAGCGACACTTGTCCAGTTCAACACAGTACTGTTGTCTGTGGTTTCAAGGGCTTTAAACTTTTTCACCTTAGGCAAGTCCACTAGAAATAAAAATAAACAAAACAATGAGAAAACAAAATAAATACATCCTAAAATTTTGAATCAGGGGGTAGAACAAGCATTTCCGCAGTATGTCTCAATTCAGAAAACTTAGTTCAAATGTCATTATAATTATTGATTACTGATAATTAAGGCTACTACTCTTAGATACAGTATACTGTAGCACAGACTGGTATCCAGTTACCAGTGAATACCTAGTCCAACTAATAGCTTGATTAATGGTAAAGGATTCATTTAGTTTGTGTATGGCAGGTCAGCTCAAAGGGGGCTGTGGTGGGGCTGCAGTTGGAGGTGACCTGCCAATAGAGGCCACTGTATGACCGATACCTGTAAATAGCCAAACTAGGGGTGATTTACTTAATTATTTGATAATTGGTAAAGGGTGAGAGATCCTTCCATGAGTACAATTGGGCTTTTGTTTGGTCTACTATATAAAGAATGTGTATGGGAGTGGTGGTAGTTGGAGTTTTTGAGGGCTGTTTTGTTGTGGTGTCTGAAAAGACAAGCATTATAAAGCATCCCTTTGTGGTTGCAGTGGGTTTTGGTTCTGTACATGCAAACCCTTGCAACTACCCTAAGGGTAAAGTCTGTCAAGCTAAAGTGCGTTACCAAGGTTTTGGGGGTACATACAAAGGCAGAAATGTTGGCAGGAAGCTACTGTTTAAAGAAGATTTTTATTTTCTGATTCATTCTTAAATCAGGCATCTGCCAGTAGATCTTCTTTGTGAGGTATTCATATAGAACCAATGTTCTGTGAGAAAATATATAAATCTTTGAGTGTAAACAATTGGTTTTGCATTAAAGACTGGTCTGAAAGAATTTGTCATGGTTAATTCACATTGAATTCCTTAAATGTTTTGTAAACTAGTGACTTGGTACACAGCTGGTAGGTTACTAAGCTATCTACCAATGTTATTCAAACTGATCATTAAAAAAAAGTTCCTATTTTCCTATCTCCAGTGCTACGATCAATCCTACATCCACTGGCTAGACTCACGTGTCCTGGCTGTGAGGAGAACAGGGCTTCCTTCCTGCTGTCCAACCACTGGAGAGACTTGAATCTTGTAGGCAGAACTTTCCTGCAGCCCCGCAATTGTAAAAAATGTTGCAGACATGGAAACAAGTTTGCTCTTTTCAGGACCACCTAATGAGAAACAGTGTGCATTTCTGTGATGGAATGCTTTGTACAACAAAATACTGTACACATTCAATCTTCCCATCTAGGGTTTTTAGTCTTCCAAATGAGTGTTAAAGTATACAGCATTTATATGCATCTCATACTTAAACTCGATAAGTCCATTATGCATTTAGATTTGCAATAGCTTCATCACTGAAACTCATGAGTCTGTTTCTCACAAGAGCAAATGAGATGTTTCTCACAAGAGAAAATACAACTTAACCCCATATAAACCCGAATAATTTTCTATTAGGTGTTGAAATGAAGCCATGTTGTGTGTAACCACATGGTCATGGTAGATAGAAATTGAAACCCAATAACATGCTATTTTTTACATGTACACGTTTTTCCAGCTCATTTAAGAATTTAAGATAAAGTAAAGTATATTGTCTTCTTAAACCTTGTTTTTTTCTATTTTTAATTTAGAAATATATAAAATATATAAAATTAATATATAAAAAAATAAACAAATTCACCAATACCTATAAGGTACACATAAACCTGTAGATTGCGAAGTACCTGTAGCTATTAGCCAAAATGTAACCTCCGTTGTGATAAATGACAACTGCGACTGTATTAAATCCTTGAATATCACTTATAAAGTGCACAGAAGCCAAATTATCAAAAATTAAGAGACAATTCAGATAACAATAATACAACTTGAATTATAAACGTACCATTGAAAGGAACCCAGGAGATTTTGTAGCCAGACACTCCAGGAGTTCTTTTCCAGGACAGCTTGAAGCTCTTAACCCCAATATCCACCACTTTCACATCTTTCACAGATTGAATCAACTCAGAGTCTGTCATAGAGGCTGTGTGTAAAACATTTTTAAACAAAGTTATTTCCAATTAAACATTTGTTGAAAAAGCTGCTGCTTTAAGTACCGTATATACAAAATAGAACATATTGACTGTTTGCCATACTATATGCTTGGTTCAACTTAGATTTATTGAAAATTATTTCAGGTAATAAATCTTTGAGGGAAAAAAAGGTATGAGTTAATATTTAATCAAAAAACTACTTAGACTATTTCCTTGTCAGCCATACTGTATGTCAATGTGTTATATAAGTGCATAAGCACCAATAAAACTGAAGTTGCACTGCTCAAAACCGTGTTCCTTTGTGTGCTAATTATGTACTGTACTATACATTTTTAAGCTGATGTTGTGCTCATCGTTTCAAATCCCATACTTAAACCCAACTAAAGAACGGTGCTTTCAACAGTCGATAAATGATGATAATAGTAATACGGTAATAGTTTGTATCACTCATTGTGTGAAAGCTGTGGTTAAAAACGTTTGTACAGCTGCAGTGAATGTTAAAGAAGGAAGCACAAACTACTACACTGTCAATCAAGCACTAAAATCAGACATTTGCTAAAACAAAAGGGGTAACCTCTTCTGTTCTAGTTCCTTTGTTGAAATATTCTCCCACAGACTGATATAGACTTGTTTTTCTAATGAAGGGTAGAATGTGAAGAAAAAATACTATACTATACCATAGTCATTAACTTGGACCACAGTTACTAAAAAAGGACTTTCTCCATCACATTATTTATATATTATACTTATGAATGGGCCAGCAGCCATATCACCCTGCAGCTCCGAACTGGCTACCCACTGAAGCTAAGCAGGGTTGAGCCTGGTCAGTACCTGGATGGGAGACCTCCTGGGAAGCTATGTTTGCTGCTGGATGTGGTGATAGTGGGACCAGTGGGGGGTGCACACCCTGCGGTCTGTGTGGGTCTTAATGCCCCAGTATAGTGGCAGGGACACTATACTGTAGTGGGTGCTGTCTTTCGGATGAGACGTTAAACCGAGGTCCTGACTCTCAGTGATCATTAAAGATCCCTGGGCATTTCTTGATAACAGTAGGGAGTTATCCAAGTGTCCGGGCCAAATTTTCCCCCTTGGCCTTTACCGTGGCCTCCAAAATTGACCCCATGTATGATTGACTTGCGATGGACTGCCGCCTCGTCCAGGGTGAATCTTGCGCTCGTTGTTTGCCAGGTAGGCTCCGACTTCCCGCGACACCATATGGTATAAAGTGGTTTGGCAAATGACATGACATGAATGGTTCAGTCTACTTTATTCTACAAAGTTGAGAACCTACAGTATTGTGAGTGAAGACCTTCTGTTGAATAGATACTGACCTGTGTGCTGTGAAAGAGTTATTTCAGGTCCCTCTGTATTGCCATACACAGCATGGATACTGATAGTATAGATAGCCTCGGGAATCAGCCCATCAATACGGTAGTGCAGGACATTGCGCTCCAAGTACTGGCTCTGAGTGGTGCTGCTGTCTGTGCCCAGAGGTAGATTATCTTGTTAATTCCTTGTGTGTGGGCACGGAATGCAGCAATAGGGTGGTTTTACAAGATAGACCATAAAGATTCTTTTTACATAAAGAAATGTCTTTCAAAGTTGTTTTGATTGTCCTATTCTTTAAATTATTTACCTTTTTAGAAATAAATTATTTTAAGGATTTAAAATAGCACGAATGTTTCAAAATACTGTATAATTTCATAAACTATACTATAAATACAGTAGATAGTAGTTACTCTATCAGACCCCTGTCCTCATAATGTAATTTGCATGCATTTACATCATAGCTTTATGGATGCAAAGTTGAGTGCACTACAGAATGTAACATTTATAAAATAGAAAGCAAAAAACATTCAAATGAATTTTTAATGAAATTTCATTTTAAATTGTGAAATGGAATTATTAAATACTGTACATACTTTATATTGTATTGTATTGCTGTAACTACATGTAGTGAACACTTTTACTTCATAAACTCTCTTCACATTGCACTCTTTATTCTAAACACTTAGGTGTTTAAATCCCCATATTATATTGTATATTGCTGATATATAATTGAACTCTACCAGTTTTAGAACAATGGACTTTGACTAGGAAAGCTTCTATGATACAATTCAAGACCAAGCATACGCCTGGCAGTTGCCTTTTAATGAAGTTAAGTGCAGGGTGCTGCATTGTTGCATTGTATCCCAATCTTACTTATGAAAAAGACCTCAAGGTAACACATTGTCTACATCTTCCAGACAATGTGGAGAAGGAATAGAAAAAGCAAACAATTATGCATCACTCAAGGCCTGCTGGAGGTAATAACACATAAGGTTGATATCGTGGCTTTGGATATAGTGTGGAAAAACTGGATAACTGTGTTTTGGAGTGCAAGGGGATGATACTTTAATATGAACTGTGTGCGTAAATAAACATACTAAACTGAGGTTGCATTTACCTTTGCCAGCAGTCCATGTTACTTTATATTCTGTGGCTCCGACAATAGGACTCCACTCCACAGTAATAGAAGTGCTTGTGTAGGATATAACCTTAAAGTTGGAGACATAGCCCAGAGGTGCTGCAACAATAAGGTATAACATCATGAATGAGACAGCAATGTTTTTCCGAGTGACCTAAAATAAAAAGGAACTAGCTCTAGACATTTTGTTTTGTTAAAACGAAAAACTGTGTTGCACTCACATGTTCTGACGGTGGCTGTGATGCCCGGTCCCACAATGGACCCAAACAGCACGTAGAGTGAAAGGACATACTCAGTATCATGGACTAGATTCTTCAGCTGGTACACTGTGGTGGAACTGTTCAGCGCCAGCTGTCTTGGTCTGTCTTTGCCTAAGAACTCTGTCAGGACAATAACATTTATTTGCTGTCAATTACTGTCGAAGGATCCCTTAAACCGCCTCTGTTACGACCCCAAGGGTCTAGGGGCAAAGGGGTGTAACATTTAGGATGGTTTTGGATGCAGGTGGGTTTCTGGTGAGGGACTTGGGAAGCGTGACAACAAGTTTCAGTGCAAAAGTGATTTTAAAGTGAATGGTATGTTATTAGGACACAATAATACACAGGGAAAGGGAACTAGAGAGGAAAGAAAAGAAAATAAACAAAATGTAGCTGGCTAATGAAGTGAGGGAAAGCTAACCTAACTACCAAAACAAAACCCGAAACACTCAGTCTTCGGCATCTTCTAACGCCCTGGCTAACCTTCACTAACTACTCAAAAACCATAAGAGACAAAAGGCACTGACCACTCCTAACTAGCATCACTAATAAAAAGACCAACTATTTGTGCAGAATGTACCTGACAATCTAAACTAACCCTAGACACAAAGGTTCACACAAATACACAAGTGAACTACGAATACCAATAAGGGAAAACAAGAGTAGACAGAAGAAATAGGGTACAAAACAGCACAGAGATTGATATAATACGTCTGGACAAGGTAATGGCGAAATAAAGGATAAACACAAACAAACTAAAGTACAAGGAGACAAACACAAACCAACAAAAGCCGAAGCTATACAAAAACACACGCACACGAAGCGAAATTAACACAAATAGAGAAGCGAAGCCAAAACAAAACACAAGCAAAAGGAAACTGAGCTGAGCAGAACTGAAGTCAAGCAAAAGGCCCTTCATTCTGATAACCTCCAAGTCATATACTGAATAAGGTATATGCTGAATAAGCTGAGTTCTGATTGGTTAGGAGTTAATTGAAGATGACATAATACGGAAACAATGGTATAATGATGGTCCAATGGGGGAGGGAGAACAATCAAAGTCAGGAAGTGTGGAACATAGCAACAAAAACACACATGGACCACACACTGGGATGTAACAGCCTCTGTTTAATGTTAGTGTAATGTTTCAAATGCTCAATTTCTCTACCCAAATCAGGGCTGTTCTTCTAAACGTTACTGAGCAATTAAAGAGCAATGTTTTGGTTCAGCTATTATTTGGTCCGGCTTTGGGTTCATAAGAGGGCAAACAGGAACTAAGCTGAATTGCAATGGTTTTTTTTAAAATATCTATCCAGAAAGAAAGAGACAAAAGTTATCAAAAGATTATATTATCAAGTCATCAGTTTCTTTCAGATTGACTTAGCCACATCAATCAGAATTTGAACGAGCTAATATTTGAATCAAATCCTTTACACAGTTGACTGTTACGACTGCCTTCAAAGGACTTTTTTACCCTTGAAAGCTCTGGTGTGACATCAAAAGGAGAGGCAGTTCACTGCTGTCCTTGCAGCACTATTTTTGACTCAGTGAGTCATAGTTATTGTGGGCTGGCAAGAGGGAAAATCGTATCATACTGGTTATTTAGAGATGTGGATATCTCAGAAAATCCATCACATCTTTCAGTACTTCTTACTAGCAAAGGACAGAGATGTCCTCTCATTTCTTGTCTGTCAGCCCAAGACGGGTTGAAAATGTTCTTAACATCTTGGCACAATGGAAAGAAAACAGATCCCTAAACAGAAAACTGCCTGAAAACATCACTAAAGTGTAAAATTGAATTGTGTTAATCCTTTGCTTGAAAGCATTGATAATATATTACAGTATTACATACTGCATAAATTGTATTAAATTAGAAAACCGAGTAGAAGGTATACAAACCTTTAATTTCCTAGCATAATGATGACAGCTTTAGAAATGGAACACAACAAAACCAACAACAGAAAATGTCAAATGCATTTCTTATTTCAATTTATTAAACTTGAAGGGTTCATCTTTCACTATGCAAAAAAGCTGATTTTTGCTAAGTCAACAGAGAATGATACAGAAGTATTTCCTGGACAACATGGAGCAATGTAATCTCTTCTTATGTCACCTGCCTGTCAACACATGCCTCTGAAAAGGAAGTCACCGATGCTCAATGATAATAACAGTTGATATGAAGAAAGAAATCTATGACATCAATCACTGCTGGTTGTATGCTTTTCCTAAAAATAACTTTTTTCATGTGCTGTTTAGCTAACTTTATTCAGAATGGATGTGGACATTACCTGTAGTTGGGCCCCATGCCAGTCTGTAACCTGTTGCCCCCGGTACAGCATTCCAGGATATCAAGGCACTATTTGTACTGACTGCAGAAGCTTTTACATTCTGTACTGCACTGCTTTCCACTAAAACAATACAAACCAAAAAAGTTACATTACCAGTAAACAGTAACCTTTCTTGTGTACTAAACAAAATACATGATTCCTACAAGTCATGTTTTCTTTGTGATTAGGCTTTCAAACAAGATATAATGCATTGATTTTATAGTCTTTGTACACAAATGCTGAATCCTCAAAAGCCATTCTATACCACAAAGACCAGCTTTGGGTTCATACATTTGGGTTCATACAATTAAGTTTCACGTTTCATGCATTTTTAATTGGAAGAGTTTGGTGGCAATTTAATGAAAATTAAATTAAATCAGAGATTCTGTCCACACAATGGACGATAATGCAGCTGTGGTTCTCATCTGTTCTTTGCAAGCCCCAGTATTTCCTGTTTAAAATGTCTAAAGCTCAGTGAGAGCTGGTCATCTGTCACAGAACAATTTGTCTGTCACGTACTGTACTTTAGTCTGTGACAAATCATCCCTTTTCCCCCTGAGCTTGCAAAACAAATACATTTTGAATTAAATATTTTTTTATTGGATAATATTGTATGCAATTCACCACGCCACACAATAATATATTGAGAGGCATTCAAAACGCACCACATACAGTACAGTACTATTGGTTCCAATATGCATTTCTTGTGCTTCTAATGTCTCTCATATAAAGAACCAAACACTAATAAAATAAGTTTACAAAGAATAAAAGAAAACTTGAAGGAAACAATTGTTCTCCTCTTTGACTATAAAGAGTCTGTTCTTTCAGGATTTGAAACCAGGCTGGCAACAATTCTTTTTTACTTCAAATAAATACAGTTAAGCTTCTAAGCGCATCAACTTCACTTATTTCCAACTTTCAAGGGAATGTGACTCATTCCTTGGGCTGACTCACACTTCCACGCAGAATACATTCCCATGGTCTCATACCGTACCTGTAGCTAAAGCCATATGTTGTGGAATAAAAGCATTAGAAATAACCAATTACAAAAACCTCTCTGCTTTACATGTGAAGAAGCAAAGGGAAAAAAAAAAGTTGGAATGAATTAATCAAAGGAAGTCAATGCACTTGTACTGTAGTTAAACTGCACTCGTCGTTTTATAAAGTTTTTTTATACTCTACACCCATAGGTTTATTGTACTGTATTAGCAGTATTATGATTCCCATGATGAAATACTTTGATTTCAATACATAAGCAATGCAGGCAACTGCCAAGGGCATGCAATTTCGTGGCATGATATCTTTATTATCCTGCTGAAGATGCTAACTCTGTGCATTTCTACAGTACTTTTTATCCAGAAGGATCCTAAAGTGCTTCACAGATGAGTGAGCATCTACTTCACCCAACACTGATGAGTAGCACCTGCCAATGCACCAGCAGCCCCACTACATAGTTGATTACAATAATAAATCAATAGCTTCAGACAGCAGTGCAATCACAATTAATTCATCTACAGTTCAATGTGCAGTACAACCTTGTATTTCTGAATTTTGTGGGAAAGCAAATCGGTGCAAAGCTGGCTTTGATTTTGGTTGGATAAAGGAAAAAATAGGATAGAACCCCAGGAATCCCCACCAGATAGAATGATCCAAGAAACTGCATGCTTAACGTACACTGTTCGGAGTTTTATGTTGGGTAAATGGAGTAAAGTATACTGTATGTTTTACATCTGGCTTCTCTTGTAATTTGCATGAGAGTTTATGCTACCACAAGCAGTCATTTTATTCACATAACACATGAGTGACAAACACCTTTTGGGGCATACAGTACTCTCCAAATGTATTCATACCTTTGAAAAAAAAGAGGAACATGATAAAACATTATACAGAAAAATGAGTTACAGATTGGATGATGTGTCTCATTTAAAAAAAGTGTAATTTTGTTATATTTCTGTAATAACAGCATTGCACAGAGTGAAATCATATGTGTCATAAATTAATGAATTCCAGAAAACAAGGCGGTCATATTTATTCACACTTCAAACTAGGTAAAATTCAACAAAAACAATTATACCTTAACATTCTGAGTGTTGAGAAGGTAGCTGCATCAGCATGCATAGGCTGCAAAGGAACAGGTAGAGGCTGTGTTCAGGTTCAGGTGTCTTGTGAAGAGGGCTCCACAGCTGAAACCTTTCAGCGTGGAATGAAACCTTTACCTGTTCCTTTACAGTATACAGTATACTGTAACACTATATAACTCTGTAGGTTTTCTGTTTCTCTGGGGTATGAAAGAAGATAGCACGTAGAAAACATTCAGCAAGTAACATGCATCATCATGGCCCTAACTCTATCACTTTCTGAAGTGTCCATTTAAGAACTTTAAGTCTACTGGTATAATGGCAACCATGCTAGGAATAGAACACATTGATATCTGTGAAACAAATTGTGTTGGGAGGCAACTGAACAGTAAATCCAAAGGCAAAAGATCTACAGTATATACAAAGCAGGAACCTCAGTATACAACATGTAGAAAAATTGTCAACATGAATGTGGCATTCATACCTGAATTGCAAGAAATACTGCAAACTAAAAAGGTCTGTTTGTTACACCTGACAAACAGCATTTGAATGACAAATGAAACAATAACATTTGTGATTGTAACTCAAGATGGAATACACAAATGGTAACCAAAAGTGTCTGAAGGATTAAGAACAATTCTACATGAAGGAATTTGCATTAAATTCCCATCTGAAGTGCCACAGACTCATAGCACACTAAAGTTAGTGTAATCCCTGTCAGAGGAGGATTTACAAAACACTAACTACGGGGATGTGAATAAATGTGACCCTTGAGTTTTTTGGACTTTAATTACAGTATTTATGATAAATACAACTTTTTATTATTACTGTATGCAATGCCATAAAGTCTTACTGTATACTGTAACATTTTTAGGATTTCATAAGCAAGAAACACTATTCAATCAGTAATCTTTCTGTTATTTGACGTTTATTGTTCCTGTTTCTATTGCTGGGTATGAATAGATTTGGAGGACACCGCAAGTAATTTTCACACACCTGGGAGATACAATTGACCTTAACAGGGAACATGTTAAGAAGGACAATTCTTAAGTTTCAGCATTGTTTTTTTTTCTTGTGGAGTTTAGGATACCCCTGGTATTCGGTATTGTGGTAATAATCCCAGCTAACACTGGTACTTTACAGCAGATGGTATCTGATGTTCAGCAACAAGAGAAATAAAATCGAAACATCCAGAATGGAAACAGATCTCTAACCCCAAGCTAATAAAACCTATGAAAGGCATCAGAAATGAACCGAAATGCTGATTACCAAGAAATTCTTTAAATAGGAAGTGAATTACAGTACAATGTACTTTGTATTGAAAAAGAAAACCCCTGTTTTAAAAACACCTTTGCATCAAAAATACAGTAAAGGTATATCATCTTACATTAACTGTCTAAGGAAATGGTTTTGACTTACATGTTTTAGCTTTTGCTGTGGTGACAGGTCCTTCAATGTCCACAAAGATGGGGTTGATTGTGACAGTGTACTCTGTCCCTGGTTGAAGCCCCTGGATCATGTAGAAGGTGTAGGTTTCACCCAGGTTAACATTCTCTATATATCCCTCTACAAGTTGAAAACATAACATTAAATAGTTAAATGATATTGCTGTACTTAACTAACATTGAATGGTTTGGGGGGGGGGGGGGTTATTTCTAGAGAACAAAACAAAATGTATTACAGATGTGTGATGTTTGAGCCTGATTTTTCATGTGGGCAAGCCGTGGGCAAATGACTTGTCTATGTAAGTGTATTTCCACTGCAAATGTGAATGCTTCTTAGCCTATCCATGTATAAATGGCTTGTGCCATGAAAATAGTCCCTACCAAAACATACAATGATAAGTTTGATTGATCCAATTAGCAAATCTCAAATATCAGTAGCAAATATGGAGAGTGGAAGAACATACTCCTAATAGAAACCATATGGGAATAATGAGATGAAAAGGGGTGGACTGCGCCCAAACTGGGCAATGATTTGGACACTCTCATTTCATCCTCTAAATATCTCATTCATCAGCTTAATCATTTTAAATTAATACATAGAAAGTATGCCACACCATACAAACGGTTCATAACAGGACTAAGTACAGGCCCAATATGTACACGATGTTAAACCAACTCTGTAGGCACTCTGTTTCACATGTGTTGGGTCTGTCCCATTATCCACAACCTCTGGACTCACGTCTGTACTATGCTGGGCAAATAAATTGACATGTATTTCGAACCAGATCCTTGCCTGTGCTTGTTGAATAATGATAACTTGGTTACCTTTCCTTTAAATCAGAGAAGACTGCTTTTTGCTGGTTTCATAGCAGTGAGAAAAACCAATTATACTGATCTGGATAAACCCAGACATTGTACCAGATAATTAATGGATACTCACATTTCAGCATAATGTGAATTCAAAATGTATAAGAGTTAGAATTAATAAAGTAAATCCTAAAACGATCAAATCTGGAGGAGGGATTTCCACAACTATTAGAAATATGCTTGTTTCTTAAAATAGTAAATACACATAAAGTGTATCCCATATTGAAGTGTACTTAACAAATGTTACATGAAGTAGTTCACGTAGGTAGCTGTGTCAGCTAATTCGGGTGCGAAGAAGGCTCCACAGCCAAAATGTTGTTTTTCCTTTCTTCTCTTTTCAGCATGGAATAAACATTTACTTGTTCTAATGTTACATTAGCTTTGGACAACAATTACTGTATATGACTGTATTGACACTATAATGTTGATGTTTGGTTTCTGTTTCTTAATTTACTGTATGTTTGAAAATTCAAATGAACAAAAAATAACAAATGGATAATAAAAATATGCTTAAAACCACCTATAACATGAAAGAAAATCACATTGTGGGGAGCAGGTGACAGTTTCTATTTGCGATATACAGTATAAAGGTACCTGAGGAGGACCAGGTAAGTCGATATCCTGAAGCACCTTTGACTGGTGACCATCTGGCCTGTATAGTATCTGTGGTGGCGTTCTGCAGGGTTAGGCTCTTCACAGGAACTAACTTCACTTTTCCAAAAATGATACACAAAACAAAGATAGCCGATTAAACCTTCTGTAGGTGAAACAACTTTGTGAGCAAGATTTATTATTCAGCAGGACCCTATCCCAGGCAACCAAAAAATTCTTTATTGTATTCTGACACCCTGTGGACAAACCTGGGAACAGTTGACTCTCGATGTGCATTTAAGGAGGAAAATTTGAAAGCAAGAAGAAGCAAGAAGCTGTTGACTGTGATACAGTACACATCACCAGAGATAAAGGTTGTAATTGAAAACTAATTTAATCAATTAATACCCATTAATAATACCCATTCATCTCTTATTAAACGTGTTCCTCCACCGACTTGGCTTGGTCTCATAACACTGAAGCCAGTCTGAAAAAGGCACAAGAGCACCTGCACTTTCTGCGGTGATTAAAGAAAAGCTGTATGAACAGCTATCCATGAACTTCTACTACAGCACCATGGAAAGTGTCCACACAAGTGGTTTCACAGTATACAGGAATACTATGCATGCCAAAGATGCACTACAAAGGGGTGTGGACTATAGGATGTGATTTGCCATCAATCAGTGAGATTCATTCCATCTAGCATATTTATTATGCTGGTTGTTACTGTTATTACAGTATTTACTGTTTTGTAATGTACTGTCTACAATGTGTGGTGTTTTCTATCGTACTGTGTTCCCTGCTGTACTGTCAGATCAGCAAAAATAAGAATCCCAATGAGGACTTCTACTGAAAGGGGTCATGACAGCCTGGAGCCAATCCTTGAATGTACAAGATGGGAATACACCCTGGCCAGGAGGCCAGTCCAATGTACTGTACACTATACACACACATGGGGACAATACCGAGACACCAATTAACCAAGACAGCATGTCTTTGAGGGGTGAGAGGTACTTGGAGATTGCCAATGTGGACACAGGGAGAATATTCAAACTCCACTCAGCAGGCTCTGTAGGCTGGATTCAATCCCAGGGAAGCATTTTAAACTAAAAGAATTCACACCACTTAAATCAAGCCATTTTAAAATGCAGACACTTGCTCAGATAACCACTTACTGAAGTCAGCTGTTCCTGTCCCTGCTTATACAATATAATGTCCGCATATTGTTTCTTATTCCATGTTTACATCTTTCTTAATTCTTTAAAAAATGCAAGCGGTACAGTGCAGCATATAAAAGGTTACTATGTCTAAAAGAAAAGATTAGATCAAGACCATCTATATTTTAATATTCAAGTGTCTGCTGACTGTCAGATTACCAGTAATATAAACAGCCAATACATTCATTCCACTGTAGCTGAGACCTACACTAATTCCATCACCGGCTCTTGATTCAAGTAAGGAGACTTACATGTTCTGCCAGTCGCAGATACTGGATCACTTGTGCCCTCAGGGTAAATAGCATAAATACTGATAGTGTATTTCATGTCTTCCTCTAGACTGTCAATGACATGGGATGAAACATCTCCACTAAGCTCCTGCTCATATGTCAGTCCGGGCCGGTTGGCTGAAACGATTAAGACATCAACAAACACCAGAACAAACTCAGTTTTTATGCATTTTGTTTGCGGATTAAGTGTTCTAATACAGTATATACAGTAGAATACACAACACACAGTATCTGTTGAGCATAGTCCCTTAAGAAAAGCACACACAGATAAAGCTTGCATGAGAAAGTGGCTTTGTTCTAGCACAGGGTTCATAAATACTGTATGTACTGTATATGTCTGTATATATATTTATCTTAGAATATTTATAGATATCAGATAATGGTATAAGCGCACCTTAGTATCACCCAGAGGGTTTTTCCTTTACAATATGAGAGTGTATTTAGGCAGTATGTTAGTCCATCAATTTAACTGCTGAGCCCAGTGGTGGCCAACAGACCCACATAATCTAGTAGAACTACTTTAGACTAATTTCTTCTTGATCAATAGTTCATGTCAATAAGGGTCCAAACATCTGAAACACAAGCAGGAAGGAAGCTGTATTTTGTGAACAATTTGTAAAAAACTGACATTCCTTGAACAGAACCATTGTTATTAAAATACACAAAAAAACTCTTGCTTGCAATTGTAAGTAAACGATTAGCTGAACACTGGTTTCTGTGGTTTAAACAAAACCAGGCTAAGAATGTTTACTTAAAGCAAAATAGATTAGAAGTAATTTTCTTACCTCGAGGAATGAAGATTTTGTAGCCATTTAATCTTCCTAATGGTGGTGTCCATGCCAACCGCAGGCTAAAGAGCCCTTCTTCTATCACTCGGAAATTAGTTACCTGGGGCACTGGCGCTGAAACAAGTGAACAGATCACCATCAGCTTTACACAGGCCAGGAGAGATATTTGGTCCCCCTGTTATCACTGTGGCCATTTGAACCATATTGTACATACTTGTATTTGCTCTGACAATTGTCGAATCCCCTCTGCCACCTGCATAAACGGCGTGGACTGTGAATAAGTACTCTGTGGTGGGTTTGAGATCAGTCACAAGTGCAGTCCTCACATCACCCTTCAAATCAATCTACCAAAACGACAACAATCATGATTATCAGTCATCAGTTAATATAATAACATCACTTTATTAGCCCTATACCATTTCTCACATTAGGAATTCATCTTTTCACATACCCCAGCTTGCTTTCTATGAGACAGACACACAGACAGGGAGAGAAGCTTGGGGTCAGAGCAGAGGGTCAGCCATTGTACAGCACCCCTGGAGCAGTTGGGGTTAAAGGGGCCCTTGCTCAGGGGCCCAACGGAGTAGGATTTCTCTGCCGGCTGTGGGATTTGAACCGGCAACCTCCCAGCCACAGGCACAGATCCTTAGCCACAGAGCCACCGCTCCAACCATGCCATTACCATCTTAATTGGTACTTAATACTGATTGCTTTTAAAATTATTTACTTACATGCTTAAAGTCCAACTGCAATTTTAAGCCGATTGAATTTTAACACATACAGTAAGAGGTTTTTAAGCAAATGTGTTGTGGAGAGCACAAAACAAAGAAAGGCGCACATACTGTAACATACTGTACTTTTGATTTCTCTCAGGAAATCATTGCATGATTGTTTTTTGTTCTACTCGATGGTGCTTGTGAATACACATGCGTGCATGTGAACACAAAACATCGTCTGTTTTGTATTTCTAAAAACAAATAATAAAGTGTTTACTTGAAAGGCGTACATTTGTCCTAAATTCCCAGACCCACAGTTTGAAATTGGAATCCCTTAGTGACTATAGTCAGTTTGCTGAAATGCTTCCAAGAGTAAATTTTCATTCTTAGCAACTGAACACTTAAATCTATTTAGCAACTTATTCACAGCCACTTTATACATTTATTGCTCTCAATTAAATTGTGCTTCAGAGGTAATTAACAAAAACTAATCTTAAAGCCTTCCTTAATTATGGTGGAAGGTGGCAGTACTTCTTTCTTGCTATGTTAATAAAGGCTCACACTACTTACACAAGAGAGTTAGCACCGCTGTAAACTCCACTTTAATTATTTTAAATTTATTGAGAATTTTTGTGTTTCCCAATTTCTATTCATTGACAAGTTTTCACAATCAGAACAAAACAGCTCCCTCCCAATGCATTCTTGTACCAATGATCTAGGGTACCCCCTTAAACCCCTAGAATTAAGTCAAGACAGCTGTGATAGGTGCACCATGCAATAAAGAATTGACCACATCAGCACCAATAACCAGTAAGATTCCACGCCCAATAGACCCATTCCCACTCTCTCAAGAGGCCAAGATTAGAATGATTGTTTAGCGGGAGAATTAGGTAACAGCAAAGGGTATCCTTGTACAGAAAAGTGGACAAATAAGACAAAACCTTTTTCCAAAAACCTACCTGTGTCTGGAAACCCTTAAAACACATTTAAAAATGGCCGCTCATGAGCGTGCCCAAGGAGCTAAGGAGACGTTTCAGATGGTACAGTAGCATCTATGAAGACTTAAGTACACTCTGTGAACAAACTTTAAGTGAAAGAATGATCAGTGAATTCAATTATTAGGATTTTTGAATGCCATTTTTCTTCTCCCTAAAAATATGACCTATAAATATGGTGTTTCCACCTGTGACTCCCTATCCCAAAGAGTAACAGCTGCTAAAGGTTTGAATGAAGCATTTTAACAGAGTAATAGAAAGCAAAACTGCTATTGTTCTCTTTTGGCATGAATTAATCTTTTGGATATCAATGACAGGGATCCTTTTAAAGAAATGTATAACAAGAAGAGTAGCACTTGCACTTGTCTGACTGTATGGTGTCACTGTATGTTAATTACAAGGTTGCATTCCCTGTCTGTTCCTTTATTTTCCTACTGGATGTTCTTTAACTGCCAGTCATTGGTGGTTAGGGAAAAAACAAGAACTCAAAAGCACTTTTTCATAGGCTAATTTATTTTGTTAATGGGATACATGTGCTAGGTTATCATTATTGCACATATACTACTGTGGCATTATCTGTTCAATATGTACCATAGCTATGGAGATTCATTTCATACAGTGACATCATATCAAATAAGTTCAGTTATCTCTCACATATGACTAAATAATACTACCCTTCCTGTGATACATAATGTATATGATTGCTGTTCTCAAAAGAATTTTCACATTATCGGTGACTGGTACATTTAAAATCAAGGAAAAGGCTGGGGATCATGCTGTAATTAGTAGTTTATCAGCACATTCCTCCTTTTTTTAGATTTATCTGACAGATTAAATCATAGTTGAAGGAGGGAAAGGAAGTCTGTGCTAACCTTATGAGAAGCCTCTGGTGTTGTGTTATGGGTTGATTTAAAACATGAACCAAGCAAACAACCAGTGACTATTTCTCCAGTTTTGAGAAAACCCTGATACCCACTTGTTCCTCTTGCCCTGAAAGTGGCTGTCCACTGGCACTGAGAGCACTGATAGTCAGCTGATATCCGGTGACGTCTCCTGTAGCAGGGGTCCACGTCAGTCTCAGAGAGCTGTAACTCAGCTCATTGACAACCAGGTCTTTTGGCCCAATAACTTTGTCTTCCACTTCAGAAAAGAAAGAGTACACTTATCATCAAACAACCAAACAAGAAAAACATGTTGATGGGTACACAGCATGTTCTTCCAATGTATACCATTCATTGTTCACAAATCTGGTCTAAGTGTTTGAAAAAATTACACTTAATTGTCAGAGCATAATTGGTATCTTCTGTCATGCTGAGCTATTACTCTCCATTATCTTGACTACCCAGGCTACATCATAATTTCTGGTAAGACGTCGAATGTTGATGATTGTGAATACCCTGCTTGGTCTGCTTGATAGGTCGTGGAGGTTCTGAGGCTGTAAAGCAAACCCGCCGAGAGATTTTAGGCAAGAGACTGCTAAGACGATTGAAGTCCTCAACAAACAGAAGATGCTCCTCAAAAGGTTCAGAGACTATTTTCTTCAGCTCTTTCTTGTCTGCCTCTTTAATTCCTGAAACAATAAAATAAACACACCCAAATGCCTCCTTAAATGATCCTAAAATAAGTCAGTCTGTCATTGCATATGAACATGGTGCTTTGCCCATTTTCTGAATAATAAAGTGGTTATGGAAAAGCAAGTAACAAAGAAAGGAATATGATTTTTTTGTATTTTCCACCACTACCACCGATCTGTTTATCACCCTCATAGGAAGCTCTTTGGTTTTGAATTCTGTGTCCAGGAAGGTACGTACTTAATGAATAGTTCAGGTGGGTAGCTGCATCAGCATGTGTAGGCTGCAAAGGAACAAGTGATAGGTTTATTCCATGCTGAAAAGAGAAGAAAGAAAGCACAATGTTTTGGCTGTGGAGCCTTCTTCAGGTGTAAGTTGTAAGTTTTCTTTCTTCTCTTTTTTAGCATGGAATAAACCTATTACTTGTTCCTAAGTGAATAGTGTTATTTTAAATGCTGTAAAGACATGCTTTAACACATTTTAGGAAAATAAATATGTTGTAATATTTACAGCACCTTCTGGAAACTGCCTTAAATAAAGGTGTCAGAAAAAACACAATTGTTAGGCAATTAATGAGTCAGCAATCATGCCCAGGTATGAAAGTATTTCAAATAGTTGATGAGAAATTATAACGATGAAGTGCTCTTTGTCTATTGTGTTGTACTTTTCCCCAACCAGAACTAGCATTAGAATCAGTTTAAGTTTTGAACCAGTTTAATAAACAAAATAGACATGCCAGTGTTATTCTGCTATGCTACATTTCCCCCACTTTTATTTAGCCCATTCAATAAAAACCAGGAGCTTTGGAAACAAACATACCCACTGCAAACACTGTAATTCCATTGTCTGGCAATGCCTTTGCTGGTTCCTCAATCAAATCTGTTGATTTATCATTGATTATTAAAATTACGATCTGCAAAAAAACAACAACGAAGGAAACATCATAATACAGATCTCAGCTATGCTACATTCACTTCTATTCACATCTAGAACATGCATTCTGCTATCACCAAACAATAGACTGAATATTCAGATTAATTGAAATTGGATTGACTATTATATATACAGTATTTCAAAGCAGGGTAACCCATTTTAAGTCTTAATGAACTGTACCAGGGGGATGTATAAACGTTTTTAGAGTGTTGCATGTATTTTCAATTCAATCGGGTGGTAACAAAATGATACATTTAAAATTCTCTAAATTACTCAGATATCCCATTTAAACATACTGGACCATTTCAGAAGCTATTTATTGCATAGCGAGAGAATGTCCCAGTTAGATGCAGGGCACTGTACCTTTGGAGCATCATCTCTGATAATGGCAGAGCTGAACACTGAATCCACCAGGAACTCCAGAGCGGCTCCCGTTTTGGGGCTCCCACTTTCATATGGAAGATCACGCACCGCAGACAGCACTTCTTCGACAGTTGAGTAGTCAGTTAGGGCTATTCTCATTCTGGGAAAGAATTTCTTTAAGGATTAGTGAAATTCAATTTACTTCAGATGTTGAAATACGTAATCATTTAGTTATGCCAATGCTCCGCTCGGATGGGATTAACGTTTGTTTTATGCGGTTGTTTGTACTGCGTGGAATCCCATCCTTATCCGATCTCAGATCTTGATCTCAATTCCCGCAGCATTGTACTAATCAGATCGGGGTTGAACCTAAGCTCAGATCTGGTTCAAATTCTGATTTTATTTTCAGGCAGGATCATACCTTAAATATTACTTTTTTTTAGAGATGAGGAATTACGCTTGTCTTCTTGTCCTCACTACGCAGTTTGCGTCGTTAGTTGGGCATTAATTTGTGTTCACTTACATACCTTGGGATGTCGCTGTAGACTGTGACACCAAAGCGGATGCCTTCTTCACCCAGTATGTTATCAGTGAAAGACTTGACGATTCCACTGATAAAATCCTTAATAAGCTGGAAATTGTCTGGTCCAACACCCCATGATTCATCCACCAGAAAAACGATGTCAGCTGTAACTGCCGTGCGGCAGGCTAGAAAAAGAAACATAAAAACCACATTATTTGGCATTCATTTGATATTGTATATGAACAATCAAAATTTTCCTTCCAAATTGCTTTAAATCATTATTAAACTATTGACTTCTGCGAGACATTGGACAAGTATATACTGTATCATGATAACTGACTAATGTTTCCATATTTTTACAATAGTTTCCCATGCTCAATCCATGTTATTTTGTACAAAAACAATTGCAAATAAGAACTCATTTAACCCATTTGGTAGTTATTACTATAGCTAATTGATTCAAGGATCTCATTCAGCCATTTCTAGAAAAAAGCCAGGGTTTCAACTTCAACAACATGAGTGGGTGTCTTGTTCATATCATTTCTACCCATGTCATCTGGTCCATGTTTTCACTGTTTATTATTAATAAATCTACTGGGCACACTTCACTTAAGACTTGGATAAGGACCTTTACAGTAATTTAGTCTTTTTTCCTTGGCATCCCACAGTAAATTGTCATGGAGCCTCCCAGCAGACGAAAGCAACGATTCCCACAATATACAGTACTACAGCAGCCCACTGCAGAAATCCTGTATACTATAAATACTGTATGTAGCCAAAATCTCATTAAGATATCCTGCAGAATATCTTATCCTGCAGAATATCTTCATGTACAGTAGTTCTTTACTTTTCTTGTGGTAGTCAAAACCTACTGCATGATCTTCACTGTGTGATTCCTAAGACAGTTTTGCAGAACTAAGCAAGGATTTTATCCTAAGGGACACTTGTGTAGAAATCCTGCAAGATTTGTGTGGCTGTATAAAGAAAACTAATTAAGCTCATAAATAATTAATAGACCTTCATATTCTGCGAGCCTTTACTACCACTAATGGTGATGTTCATGCATTATAGTCTCCTAACAAACTAACATTCTAAAACATATAGTCTATTTTTCATTGTTATAATCTCTTTAACATGTTTGTAGACATTCATTTTAAAGGACGACCACAAGAACGCAAATGCACAGGAAATGCTTCCAGCAAAAAAAAAAATGCTTTAAATAGATTTAAATAACATCTAAATGGCTCTGGATTTTCCCACACTCCAAAGACATACATTGGCCCTGGTGCGAGTGTGTACAGTATGCATTTACTGTACTGTATGTCTGTGTGTGTCCGGCAGTGGACTGGCTTCCCATTCAGTGTGTGACTTGTACCCAATGCTTCCTGGGATAGGCTCTAAGCCACTGTGACCTTGAATTGGATAGGCAGTTATTGAAAGTTATGTGATGATGATGTGATAATACCTACAGTAAATGCTCTGATGATATTGGGCTCTGTTCATGAAACGTTTTTTCCACTATGCTTAGTTCCCAACACTTTTTTTCAAGCAGGAATGATTGAGATTGACAACAGGGAACCTTTAATTACTATCTTGACTTATCTGGCATTTAGTAGCTTCACAGCTCTGACTTCTTGGAAAGAAGTAAAAGTGTATACCAAAGATATATTATTCAGGTAGGGAGGTGACAAGTTTGGTCAAGAAATACTTTCCACTAGATGGCAGTATAACGCAAGATATTAGCCTTGGCCCTCTGGAATTTGTATGCGCAAGCGACTGAATTTGCATGCCCTTCCTTTTCTGTGTTCATGGGTGAACTGTTATGGGGTAGAGGTCAGTGTTCCTGGGAAATCATCTGTATTCTGGGCAGTATTCTGAATAGGGCACATGAAAGGAAAATTTAAACAAACCAACAAACAAATCAATTGAACAATCGATCGCATTCAGTGAAATCACCCTGCGCCAAAATGTAAAAGACAGAATAAGTAACTGCAAATTTAATTAAGGGCAGCAGGAAAGAAAACTGTATTGATTAAATTACCATACTGAAGTTAAAAGGCATTTAATGACTTATGACAGGATTAATTGCTGGAAGCGAAATTCCTTTCTTTATGCTCCTGTAACCTGGCTGCAATCCCAGCACTGTATACAGTATCTATTTTGTATGTGTGTGTCAATCAGGCCATCTTTGCATTGCCTCTGTGTTGCTTCCTTTCAGAATAAAAACCTTTAAAACACAAATCTGTCATTAAAATGGTTTGGACCTTTACTGGAAAGAGTTATAGTGAAAGATTTGTATTGTGCCAGAGAAACAGAAACCAAACCCTGTCTCCGGTAAACAAGTAGCATGTCTGTCACAAGGGCAACACGAATCTTATTTCTGCTTTGTGCTTTGTGTAAAAACAACAGCAGTTGCAAGTTATCCTTTCAGACAAAAAATAGCTTGTACCAGCATGGGTGTCATTTTTAATGTTTTTGTGTATCTGATGGACAAACAAACGTGCAGGGAAACTTGTTTCTGGAGGAACGGAGTTGAAATATTACAAACTTTAGTTAGTGGGGTTCATTATTTTTAAAAATGTTTAAATGTGTCTAGCATTTTCTTGCAAATCAGCTCATTTGGATATTATGAAAAAGCGTTTTATTTTGTGTATGTGTAATATTCATAAATGAATATTCATTGTCATGAAGTACTAAAGTTCATTAATTAATTTAAATCCTCTTTTTATTATTATATTTTATTATTATTAAGCTATCAATCTTTGTCAATATCTGGTAAATAAGTTTACTTCCTTAAGGCTGGTGTAGCGCAGCTAGTTCAGACCGGTGACGTCATCACCCTCCCTGTGCTTTAGCTCATGCGACTGGCTCCCTGTTGTGTTACATTAGAGAGCCAGGTTCGATGCTGCAGGACGAAATGGGCGGGGTGGAGCGGCTATACACTATATCTTCACTTTGTATATACTATATACTATACATTTACAGTACAAAACACCAAATTAACAAAAGATACAAAACACAATAAACTGTGATGACTTAATTTAAGACCACATTGCTTCTGTACTGTTATTAATATGGTTTTCCGAACTCATACATCAGAAAGACTAACGAAACCAAACTTATCCTGCAGCTAGGATCACACCTTCCCCCTTCTCTTAACGACAGACTACTATTCTACTAAATTTTCTCCATTCATTGGAAGTTTCATTTCACACCTTTCTACACCTATCCTGACTTCACACCTATTGATTGGCCTCTCTTTCTGTCCCCTGCTCCCGCCTCTCACCCCTCCTCCCTCCCAGCCTTTGTTCTCCCACTACATTACCTTTGCCTACTGCCTTGTCTCTCTCACACCTGAAGAAGGCTCCACGGCCGAAACGTTGTGTTTTTTCTCTCTTCTTTTTTTCAGCATGGAATAAACCTATTACTTGTTGCTTTGCAGCCTACGCATACTGACGCAGCTACCCACACTGAACTGTTATTAATATGTCTACTTCTGTTGTGACTGCTGTTACACCTATTGCTAATATTACCACAAGTACTGCTATATATGCTATTAGTGCCACCATTAATAATCTAATAACAGAAGTGTTTTGGTTCCTTTTGTGTGTTGTGTCAGACCCAACATTGAAATTGTGACATGCATGCACTGATATTCACTCCAAATACATTTCAAGTTTATTCATGTGACTGAGACAGGGAAAGTCAATAAGTACCTTCATTGGGGTACAGCAAGCTATTGTCTATACATAGAATCACCTCTGACATAATTTGTCAAACAAAGATTACCTTAAATTGTAAGTATCCCCACTTATCCCTAATGACTATCATTAATTAAATTATTTACTGTAAATATAATATTTTTCCAAATTCTTACTTCTGTCTTGCAGCAGGTAACTTTCTCCTGATCATTGCAAGGACTAGATCAACACACACACTTCCCCTTAATGAATCCATAAAAAACTAGCTAAAAAGTTGATTAACCATAATTTCTCATTTTCATTTCTCATTTCTCATTTTTCATACTTTCCTAATCTATTGTGTGTGAGGGGAAAATGAAATTCTCCAGGAGTACAACATCTCTTTTTGATATATGTGTTACATACTTCAATGTGCAATGAAGCACCTACTGTACATCTGTTGCTGTGTTGGGTGGTCTGTAGCATACTCAACTTCTTAATACTTTATCATTTTTCTTCACCAGTGTGCTGATCCATGTACGTTCTGAGGCATATGTATTCTTCTAGTTCAAGTAATGATTGGCAGAAATATAAAATATAAACTCAACAATTAAAGGTGTGTTGACACACCTGAGGAATGCTTCACTGCTGAAATGTCGTGTCTGTTTTCTTATCCTTTCAGCATGGAATAAACCTTTACCTGTTCCTTTGCAGCCTATGCATGCTGAGGCAGTTACTGTACCTGCTTGAGCTTCTTCAATAAATTAAAGTGTTTGCATATAAATCCAATGTTTGTGTGTTTTAGCCAGGATCAAAGTGATACCATAATCCTGGAGTCAAAGAGAAAAGTCATAATCCAGTCTCCCTAAAACTCTCAATATTCAAAACACAAAAATAATTTTATTTCCTTCATCTCTTTGTGTTATTTAGACCATTTGGAAATCGGATTACAAACTTAGCTTATTTTCTGGAACTTTTCAGCCCATTTTTACAAATCTTGGAAGAAAGACTGCCTTAGCCTTTTTTTTCCACAGACTGTCAACTTTTCCCATTAACCTCCCTAGGACTCAGCTCCTTTCTTGATAGGACTCTGAACAAGACTAGGTAGGCAAAAACAAAATTGGTAAAATGGCTCACAGTCTCATTTTGTTTCAGTGTTCGCAAAGAGAGCAATTGCAGTAACACCAGCAACATATACCTCACTTTTCAACCTATCCTAAAAATGCAGAAACTGGGTTAAGCCCCCTTGTTTCTGAAGTATTCATAAAAAGTTTAGAATTAATGACGTTCCAAAATACAGAAAAGTTTGAACATGGTGTTGTGCAGATGGCCACAAGCTGATTTTAAATTCTCTATTTTCCATATTTTTGGTGCAAAACTGCCCTGAACCTCAACTTTCTACAGTGAGTCAGGTGGGATAAAAATATCAACTTGAAACTGCCTGTGACACTTTAAATTAAAAAAAAATACTTACAAACGCTGAAACGTTCGCTTAATATATACTG